CCGCTCCCAGCCGCAGGGCTGCGTCGGGCGGCGCGGGGGGCTGAGCCGGCCCCTCCGCCTGCGGCCCCGGCAGGAGACAGTGCACAAAGTGGAGGTGGGACCGTCGGAGCAGGTTCGTGAGCGCGTCCTGCCGGGCAAACAGAGGTCAGCAGGGATGGAGGGGAGGGCAGGGTGAAGGGACAGCTCGTGGCATCTGTGGGAAACGCTCCCCGTGCCCCCTCCGCCGGGTGTCTGGACAGGTAAAGGAGTCACCATCAGAGCCCTCAAAGCTCAAGTGCGCGTTAGGGACAACAACTTTGGTCAGAGAGGTGACCCAAAGTGCAGGTCTGAGATGCTGAGAGGGACCCTTCCTCCTAATGTCCCACATTTTTGGTTGATGGGCTACAAAAAGTTACCGGGGCTGAGGGTTGCTGGGCAGGGGTTTGCCAGGGCCGGCTGGGACCACAGGGCGGGCTGGCCAGGGCGCCTACGGAGACCGAGCCTTGTCTTCTCCAGACAGTTTAGGCACAGAATTAAGGCTGAGATCAGCAGGAGCTCGGCATGTGCCCAGCGCGGAGGGCTGGTCTATTCGTCTGAGGGCTTAAGAGGATTAAGCGGCAGCACAGCAAGGTGTGTCTGTAATCTGCTTTATGATTTCTTGGCCTGAGATGCTTTCCCTGAGCCACAGTGGTGCTGGGGAGTCTCGTGGCCACCCGCGGCCAAAGCAGCATCCCGGGCCAAGAGCCCTGCAGGGCACAGAGCCGCACTGGTGACCCCAGTGGAAGGTACCTGCTGGGGGGCATGGGGGCTCCCTGCTAAGGAGGAGTGTGTCTAAGGCAGGGTCTCAGCGCGGGGTCAGGATGCACAGCACTGCAAACACCCCGACCCGCAGCCACGAGGTGCCCGCACTCACCGCCTGCAGTTTGAGCTGAGCGCACACCGACCTCTTCTTCACGGCTGCGAAGCTGCTGGCGAAGGTTTTCCTCACGCAGCCGTTGCGGTGCAGGACGGCCTGGGAGCGTCCCTCCAGCCCCGCCACAGCGCGGCAGGCCAACCAGCGCGGCAACACCAGCTCCTTCACGGCATCTCTGTTGGGGTGAGCAACAAGACGGTGGGGCTACAGCGGCACCGGTGCCGGGGAACCTCTGCTTCCCAGCTCCTTCAACAGGGATGCGATGCTCAGCGCCCCAAATTCAGCATTGATGCTGCCACGGGGCACGCAGCGGCGGAGCAGAGCAGGGTACCAGGACACCCTCCTGTTCCTCTCTGGTTCGGGCACTGAGCCATTCACCGCTGTTAAAACTTTCTTGAATTGAAACCTGAATCAAAATGAGCTGGGAGTGTTTAAGCAGAAGGTCAAAATCGCCCCGCGTACAGACACATCTGCAGCAGCTCGACTACGTTTCAATTCCAATTTAGTTTACAATGGTCTCCGAAGCGGTGGGGAAAACCTGCGCGGTTGCTGCGCGGGGAGCTGCCCTTTGCCGGTGATGTCTTACGCTCCCAAACCACGCCGGACAGCCAACCCCACGGCACTGCGGAGCCGAGGACATTGTGGGGTCCCCTTGGGTCCCCCACGCCCCCACCACCCACGCCTGCAGGAGGGGACCCCCGCAGAACCATCAGTGGCACGGTTGTGCTGACTCGAAGATCCCAGACAGCTTTGATGGAAAGCTGATCACTGCGGCATTATTCACCAGCTCCGTCTGTAGCGTCTACCGCCATCGCAGCGGCACATCGGGCTGTCAGTCAGCCCGGGGGTTTGAAAGCTGTAAGTCAAATCACTTGACATCTGCTCCCCCCACCTTAACTAAACTCTCGAGATTCTCACAAAGCTGGGCTGAAAGCTGTGGGTTTTTCTCGCTTCCTTACAGGTTTTGCCCCAGGTGGAGCTGGACTCCGGCAACGCAACGCCGGTGTCGGCAGGTGCCTCGGGCTGCCCCGCAGATGGGATCCCCTCAAGATCCCGTCCCCTCCTCGCCCACCCGAGGCCAGATCAGCTCCCTGCCTGGGCTGTGCATTGGGCAGGAGGTGGGGGGGACAGGCAGTGACCTCCCTGCAGCCATGGCAGACCTCGGCCAGGCTAGGAGTCCTCTCCTCCCCATCAGGATGCCTCACGACCCCCCGCTTTCCCCACCGCGAAGCCCCTCTCGGAGCTGGAGCAGGTTTGCAATCTCCAGCCCCCGGCTCACGGCGGGAGTCATACCAAACCCCTCTCACGGGCACGGGGATGACCGCCGGCACCACAGCACCGGCCTCGTACTTACACCTTGGACCGCTGCAGCACCTGGATGGCGTTTTCTGCCGAGAGGTTGAGCTTGGCTTTGCTGACCCAGCCCGTGAGGTCGTAGCGCACGGGGTCCGTGCCCAGCTGGTGGGAGATCTCGAAGTGCAGCGCCTGCTCGCACCTGCGCATGGGGCCATCCCCTGCGGCGGCGCCCCAGCATCGCCCGAGAAGAAAAGCCCCGTGAGATATTTCATTTGCTGTGCTGTTCCTTAAAATTTCCAAAGCTCAACGACAACGCCGGAGGACGGGCAGCCGAGCTGACCCCGACTTACCCTCCAGTTCGGGTCCCTTTGTGGCGAAGTAGGAGCACAGGCGGGGGAAGGGCCGGCCCGCATTCCTTTCCCTCGAAAGAGGCAGCTTTGAGGACTGATGTCCGTGTTCATTGATTTGGGGCAGGAAGCAAGAGGAACTGGTGCAGCAGGTGCGGAAGAGGCTGGAGGAAGCCCACCCTGCTCCCCACCGCCTCTGCTCGACAGCATCACCAGCCCCAGACCAGCCAAGACCAGGCTCAGGAAACCCTCCTGGACCGATCCAGCTCTGGACGTCACCCAGGAGACCTCCACAGTGACACTGTGTCCCGGAGGGGCGAGTCACTCCTGCTCCGCAGCCAGGCTGGGAGGGGTTCCCGCGGTGCAGGGCTTGACCAGGAAAGGTGTTTTTAAAAGCCAAAATGGTCCCGGTTGACGCTGTGCCCTCCCTTGCGACAGCCTGGACTGCTCTCTGCAAAACGCACCACGAGGGCCCACTCTGCCCCTGAACCCCTCACTCCTCTTGAAGCGCACGGATGCTTCAAGCACGGCCAGGGCAACCAGCTCCCGCCGTGGCCACGGGGACGGGGTACCTGTGAGGAGCTCAGGTCGACGATGGACAGCGTGGCCAGTGGCGAGCGCTCTGGAAGATCAAAAGACACCTCAACATTTTCCTGGAAAACATCATTTAAAAGCTTGCTTCAGTCATGGTCTGGCGTCTGCAAGCCAAGAGGAGATAATGTTTGCGCGGAGGGGGAGGAGGATGGTGCGGGCTGTGCTCCCGCTCGGCTTTGCGGGGATGTGGCGCCGGCGGAGCCGAGCAGCCACCGGAGACGTCTCTGCCGTGACGTGGAGGCACGGCCACGTCTGTCCCCCCGGGAAGGGCTGTCGGGACCACCGCTCCCAACGGGCTTCTGCAGCGCTGTGGGGATGTCAGACAAGCTGCATAAATCAGGGCTATGACAATAACTGAAGGCTTAATGAGAAAGCAGCAAGAAAACAATCAATTATTGAATTTGCAGCTTGCAGGCGTTGTTTCCCTTCCTCCACGGAGGGCTTTTCAGGCTGCAGGGCTCACCCACCACCCCTGGCCCCACACCCCCTGCGCCGTGCCCGGCAGCGCGGGGACCCCCCGGCAGCGGCAGGGTAAGCACGGCTCGCCTCTGCTCACGTGTGCACCGGGGACGTTCAGCAAGAGCCGTAGCTTTAATGTCTCTCCATGGTAACACGGGGAGATTTTGCTCAGGTTTGCAGCCGGAGCGTGCAGGTGGAGCAGAAAGCAGCACTGAACCCCAGTTTCTTCCCACCACGGGCAACGTGCCACCGTCGCCCCCGCGCGTGACCCAGCTCTGGGAGCAGACGGGGCACTGGGGCAGACGGTCGCAGTCCCGGGGGCTCACAGGGCAATGTCTTGCACCAGGGCAGCCGTCCTTAGCCGGCGACAAAGGCAAGGCGAGGTGGGCCCGCTGAGCCCGCTGCCATTTCAAGCTCGGCCAGTAACTGCATATTCATCGCGAGGCGGGAGCACGTGTACACTCACTCGGCGCCAAGTGATGTGTGAATATTAAGCCATGGGAATTCAACTATTTTCCCAAGGCTAAAGGTATTAAAGCAACTTCTGCAAGCCTACTAAGTTCATCTCTGCTTGTAGATTTATCAGCAGCTTATTTCTGCAATAATTTATCATTTTCCTTTCTATTCTCCATTATTCATCACCCGAGGAAAAATGCAGCTGCAGCAACAGAAGGGCACGAAGCCTCCTGAGCTGGAACAAGGTGCCCAAAGGGATGCGCAGGCAGCCTGGCACCTCCGGCACGCCAGAAATACCCAAAAAGACCCAAGAGTGGGGCAGTGGGGGGACGAGAGACCCGGCTCAAGGCTACCGCTCTGTACAGACCCCTCATTTCTTCGACACCCCTCCCGTTAAAGCTGCTGAAGTGTGTTATTCGGTCACAGCACGGCAGGACACAGGGTCGGGTCAAACGCAGCCCCATCCCCAGGTGCCGGGAAGCTGCTCCCTGGGGCGCCCTTCCCAGCCCCCACGTCTCACCTCTCTGTACCTCTCCATTTCTGAAACAAAGGTTTTCTCGTAGAAAAGGGCCTGCAGCCGCTCCTGCACGTAGTTGTGGCAGAGCTCTTCAAAAGTCGCCGCTCGCTCGCCCCGCTGGTGCCGCGGGTTGTGGAAGCCCCGAGTGGCCACCCCCCCGCTGG